AAAACAAACAAACTAATATAACAAGATGGAAATAGACTCACAGATATGGAGAACAAACTAGTGGTTACCAGTGGGGAGAGAGAAGAGGGAAGGGGCAGGATAGGGGAAGGGGACTAAGAGGTACAAACTCCTAGGTGTAAAATAAATAAAATACAAGGATGTAATGTACAGCACAGGAAATACAGCCAATATTTTTAAATAACTTTATATGGAGTGTAATCTGTAAAAATAACAAATCACTATGTTGTACACCTGGAACCAATATAATATTTTAAGTCAACTATAATTCAATAAAAAAGAAAAGAAACTAATGCATACCTAGTTCAAACCAAACAAAGTCATAGTTTATTAACTGGCCAGTGAAAATGCCACTAATTGGGAATTGTAAAAAATGCATCTAGAGCATACTTAACATATTTGTCTGCCTTCATGTATTCTGGGAGTCCTTGAGGACAAGGACTTTAACTTATTCATCTTTGTATCCCAGATTCTAGTGTTCTGGCACAAAGTAGACTCTCAAAAATTGTTTGCTGTATTAATAAGCTGCATTCCCTTTCTTTTCTCCCTCTTTCTTTCCTTGAAAAGCTTGTAAAGTGTGTTGATAACTCATTTTATATGACTGCTAAACAGGAATAATCTAGGTTAGAATTAAAATAGCAGAATCTCTTTAAATAATCAGTGAATGGAACTAAGACTAAAACCTTATTATAAACATTTGTCACAAATGAAATTACTATAGTGTCAACTTGTGTGTAACTGGTGAGTCTATAGTATAGCTCCTTCTGTATAAAATAATACAAAACACTTTATCACTTTGTGACACCGAATTCCCTCAGGAATCTTTCAAATGACATAAAAACTACAGAAAACAGGTGCATAAGCTCTCTCTCTCTCTCTCCCTCCCTTTCCTCCCTACTCCCCCACTCTCTATAGATATAAAATCTGAACTTCTTTGGTTTTAAATGGACTTTCAGAAGACATCAAATGGCCAACAGGTACATGAAAAGATGCTCAATATCACTAATCTTCAAATTAAAACTACAATGAGATAGCACCTCACACCTGTTAGAATGGCTGTCATCAAGAATATAACCCTGGTGGCACAGTGGTTGACAGTCC